CTATGGGTCTCCGTGTGAGTCTATGGGTCTCTGTGTGAGTCTGTGGATCTCTGTGTGAGTCTGTGGGTCTCTGTGTGAGTCTGTGGGTCTCTGCGTGAGTCTGTGGGTCTCTGTGTGAGTCTATGGGGCTCTGTGTGAGTCTGTGGGTCTCTGTGTAAGTCTATGGGTCTCTGTGTGAGTTTAGGGGTCTCTGTGTGAGTCTGTGGGTCTCTGTGTGAGTCTATGGGTCTCTGTGTGAGTCTATGTGTCTCTGTGTGAGTCTATGGGTCTCTGTGTGAGTCTATGTGTCTCTGTGTGAGTCTATGGGTCTCTGTGTGAGTCTATGGGTCTCTGTGTGAGTCTATGGGTCTCTGTGTGAGTCTGTGGGTCTCTGTGTGAGTCTGTGGGTCTCTGTGTGAGTCTATGGGTCTCTGTGTGAGTCTATGGGTCTCTGTGTGAGTCTATGGGTCTATGTGTGAGTCTATGGGTCTCTGTGTGAGTCTATGCGTCTCTGTGTGAGTCTATGTGTCTCTGTGTGAGTCTGTGGGTCTCTGTGTGAGTCTGTCGGTCTCTGTGTGAGTCTGTGGGTCTCTGTGTGAGTCTATGGTTCTCTGTGTGAGTCTATGGGTCTCTGTGTGAGTCTGTGGGTCTCTGTGTGAGTCTATGGGTCTCTGTGTGAGTCTATGGGTCTCTGTGTGAGTCTATGGGTCTCTGTGTGAGTCTGTGGATCTCTGTGCGAGTCTGTGGGTCTCTGTGTGAGTCTGTGGGTCTCTGTGTGCGTCTATGGGTCTCTGTGTGAGTCTGTGGGTCTCTGTGTGAGTCTGTCGGTCTCTGTGTGAGTCTATGGGTCTCTGTGTGAGTCTATGGGTCTCTGTGTGAGTCTATGGGTCTCTGTGTGAGTCTATGGGTCTCTGTGTGAGTCTGTGGGTCTCTGTGTGAGTCTGTCGGTCTCTGTGTGAGTCTGTGTGTCTCTGTGTGAGTCTATGGTTCTCTGTGTGAGTCTATGGGTCTCTGTGTGAGTCTGTGGGTCTCTGTGTGAGTCTATGGGTCTCTGTGTGAGTCTATGGGTCTCTGTGTGAGTCTATGGGTCTCTGTGTGAGTCTGTGGATCTCTGTGCGAGTCTGTGGGTCTCTGTGTGAGTCTATGGGTCTCTGTGTGAGTCTATGGGTCTCTGTGTGAGTTTATGGGTCTCTGTGTGAGTCTATGGGTCTATGTGTGAGTCTGTGGATCTCTGTGCGAGTCTGTGGGTCTCTGTGTGAGTCTGTGGGTCTCTGTGTGAGTCTATGGGTCTCTGTGTGAGTCTGTGGGTCTCTATGTGAGTCTATGGGTCTCTGTGTGAGTCTATGTGTCTCTGTGTGAGTCTATGGGTCTCTGTGTGAGTCTATGTGTCTCTGTGTGAGTCTATGGGTCTCTGTTTGAGTCGATGTGTCTCTGTGTGAGTCTATGGGTCTCTGTGTGAGTCTATGTGTCTCTGTGTGAGTCTATGGGTCTCTGTGTGAGTCTATGGGTCTCTGTGTGAGTCTATGGGTCTCTGTGTGAGTTTATGGGTCTCTGTGTTAGTCTATGGGTCTCTGTGTGAGTCTGTGGATCTCTGTGCGAGTCTGTGGGTCTCTGTGTGAGTCTGTGGGTCTCTGTGTGAGTCTATGGGTCTCTGTGTGAGTCTGTGGGTCTCTGTGTGAGTCTATGGGTCTCTGTGTGAGTCTATGTGTCTCTGTGTGAGTCTATGGGTCTCTGTGTGAGTCTATGTGTCTCTGTGTGAGTCTATGGGTCTCTGTGTGAGTCTATGGGTCTCTGTGTGAGTCTATGGGTCTCCGTGTGAGTCTATGGGTCTCTGTGTGAGTCTGTGGATCTCTGTGCGAGTCTGTGGGTCTCTGTGTGAGTCTGTGGGTCTCTGCGTGAGTCTGTGGGTCTCTGTGTGAGTCTATGGGTCTCTGTGTGAGTCTGTGGGTCTCTGTGTAAGTCTATGGGTCTCTGTGTGAGTCTTAGGGGTCTCTGTGTGAGTCTGTGGGTCTCTGTGTGAGTCTATGGGTCTCTGTGTGAGTCTATGTGTCTCTGTGTGAGTCTATGGGTCTCTGTGTGAGTCTATGTGGTCTCTGTGTGAGTCTATGGGTCTCTGTGTGAGTCTATGGGTCTCTGTGTGAGTCTATGGGTCTCTGTGTGAGTCTATGGGTCTCTGTGTGAGTCTATGGGTCTCTGTGTGAGTCTATGTGTCTCTGTGTGAGTCTATGGGTCTCTGTGTGAGTCTATGGGTCTCTGTGTGAGTTTATGGGTCTCTGTGTTAGTCTATGGGTCTCTGTGTGAGTCTGTGGATCTCTGTGCGAGTCTGTGGGTCTCTGTGTGAGTCTGTGGGTCTCTGTGTGATTCTATGGGTCTCTGTGTGAGTCTGTGGGTTTCTGTGTGAGTCTATGGGTCTCTGTGTGAGTCTATGTGTCTCTGTGTGAGTCTATGGGTCTCTGTGTGAGTCTATGGGTCTCTGTGTGAGTCTATGGGTCTCTGTGTGAGTCTATGGGTCTCCGTGTGAGTCTATGGGTCTCTGTGTGAGTCTGTGGATCTCTGTGTGAGTCTGTGGGTCTCTGTGTGAGTCTGTGAGTCTCTGCGTGAGTCTGTGGGTCTCTGTGTGAGTCTATGGGGCTCTGTGTGAGTCTGTGGGTCTCTGTGTAAGTCTATGGGTCTCTGTGTGAGTTTAGGGGTCTCTGTGTGAGTCTGTGGGTCTCTGTGTGAGTCTATGGGTCTCTGTGTGAGTCTATGTGTCTCTGTGTGAGTCTATGGGTCTCTGTGTGAGTCTATGTGTCTCTGTGTGAGTCTATGGGTCTCTGTGTGAGTCTATGGGTCTCTGTGTGAGTCTATGGGTCTCTGTGTGAGTCTGTGGGTCTCTGTGTGAGTCTGTGGGTCTCTGTGTGAGTCTATGGGTCTCTGTGTGAGTCTATGGGTCTCTGTGTGAGTCTATGGGTCTCTGTGTGAGTCTATGGGTCTCTGTGTGAGTCTATGCGTCTCTGTGTGAGTCTATGTGTCTCTGTGTGAGTCTGTGGGTCTCTGTGTGAGTCTGTCGGTCTCTGTGTGAGTCTGTGGGTCTCTGTGTGAGTCTATGGTTCTCTGTGTGAGTCTATGGGTCTCTGTGTGAGTCTGTGGGTCTCTGTGTGAGTCTATGGGTCTCTGTGTGAGTCTATGGGTCTCTGTGTGAGTCTATGGGTCTCTGTGTGAGTCTGTGGATCTCTGTGCGAGTCTGTGGGTCTCTGTGTGAGTCTGTGGGTCTCTGCGTGAGTCTGTGGGTCTCTGTGTGCGTCTATGGGTCTCTGTGTGAGTCTGTGGGTCTCTGTGTAAGTCTATGGGTCTCTGTGTGAGTTTAGGGGTCTCTGTGTGAGTCTGTGGGTCTCTGTGTGAGTCTATGGGTCTCTGTGTGAGTCTATGTGTCTCTGTGTGAGTCTATGGGTCTCTGTGTGAGTCTATGTGTCTCTGTGTGAGTCTATGGGTCTCTGTGTGAGTCTATGGGTCTCTGTGTGAGTCTATGGGTCTCTGTGTGAGTTTATGGGTCTCTGTGTTAGTCTATGGGTCTATGTGTGAGTCTATGGTCTCTGTGTGAGTCTGTGGGTCTCTGTGTGAGTCTATGGCTCTATGTGTGAGTCTATGGGTCTCTGTGTGAGTCTATGGGTCTCTGAGTGAGTCTATGGGCCTCTGTGTGAGTGTGTGGGTCTCTGTGTGAGTCTATGGGTCTCTGAGTGAATCTATGGGTCTCTGTGTGAGTATATGGGTCTCTGTGTGAGTCTGTGGGTCTCTGTGTAAGTCTATGGGTCTCTGTGTGAGTCTATGGGTCTCTGTGTGAGTTCATGGGTCTCTGTGTGAGTCTATGGGTCTATGTGTGAGTCTGTGGATCTCTGTGCGAGTCTGTGGGTCTCTGTGTGAGTCTATGTGTCTCTGTGTGAGTCTATGGGTCTCTGTGTGAGTCTATGTGTCTCTGTGTGAGTCTATGGGTCTCTGTGTGAGTCTATGGGTCTCTGTGTGAGTCTATGGGTCTCTGTGTGAGTTTATGGGTCTCTGTGTTAGTCTATGGGTCTATGTGTGAGTCTATGGGTCTCTGTGTGAGTCTGTGGGTCTCTGTGTGAGTCTATGGGTCTATGTGTGAGTCTATGGGTCTCTGTGTGAGTCTATGGGTCTCTGAGTGAGTCTATGGGTCTCTGTGTGAGTCTATGGGTCTCTGCGTGAGTCTATGGGTCTCTGTGTGAGTCTATGGGTCTCTGTGTAAGTCTATGGGTCTCTGTGTGAGTTTATGGTTCTCTGCGTGAGTCTATGGGTCTCTGTGTGAGTGTGTGGGTCTCTGTGTGAGTCTATGGGTCTCTGAGTGAGTCTATGGGTCTCTGTGTGAGTATATGGGTCTCTGTGTGAGTCTGTGGGTCTCTGTGTAAGTCTATGGGTCTCTGTGTGAGTCTATGGGTCTCTGTGTGAGTTTATGGGTCTCTGTGTGAGTCTATGGGTCTATGTGTGTGTCTGTGGATCTCTGTGCGAGTCTGTGGGTCTCTGTGTGAGTCTGTGGGTCTCTGTGTGAGTCTATGGGTCTCTGAGTGAGTCTATGGGTCTCTGTGTGAGTCTATGGGTCTCTGCGTTAGTCTATGGGTCTCTGTGTGAGTCTATGGGTCTCTGTGTAAGTCTATGGGTCTCTGTGTGAGTCTATGGTTCTCTGCGTGAGTCTATGGGTCTCTGTGTGAGTGTGTGGGTCTCTGTGTGAGTCTATGGGTCTCTGAGTGAGTCTATGGGTCTCTGTATGAGTCTATGGGTCTCTGTGTGAGTCTATGTGTCTCTGTGTGACTCTATGGGACTCTGTGTGAGTCTATGGGTCTCTGTGTGAGTCTATGGGTCTCTGAGTGAGTCTATGGGTCTCTGTGTGAGTCTATGTGTCTCTGTGTGAGTGTGTGGGTCTCTGTGTGAGTCTATGGGTCTCTGTGTGAGTCTATGGGTCTCTGAGTGAGTCTATGGGTCTCTGTGTGAGTCTATGTGTCTCTGTGTGAGTCTATGTGTCTGTGTCGTACCGCGCGGTAATCCAGAAACATGTCCTTGAACGCGAGGAAGTCGCTGAATGTGAGCAAGAGATCAAAGATGTCTCCTGTCATCTCCTCCTTGTGCTCCCTGCGACATCAGCACCACCACCACCATCATCACCACCACCATCACCATCATCATCACCATCATCACCATCACCATCATCACCACCATCACCATCATCACCACCACCATCACCACCACCCCCACCATCACCACCCCCATCATCACCTCAAACCACCATCACCACCACCATCACCACCACCACCATCATCACCACCACCACCACCACCATCATCACCACCACCATCCCCACTAGCACCACCACCATCACCACCATCATCACCACGATCACCATCACCACCATCACCAGCACCACCACTATCACCACCGCCATAACCACCATCACTACTACCACCACCCCTACTACCATCACCACCACCCCCACCATCACTACCCCCACCATCACCTCAACCCACCATCACCACCACCATCACCACCATCACCATCACCACCCCCACCATCACCACCACCACCATCCCCACTAGCACCACCACCATCACCACCACCATCACCACCACCACCATCACCACCACCATCACCACCACCATCCCCACTAGCACCACCACCATCACCACCACCATCACCACCATCAGCACCACCACCATCCCCACCAGCACCATCACCACCACCACCATCATCCCCACCATCACCATCCCCACCACAACCATCTTCACCACCACCATCCCCACCACCACCAACCACACCACCACCATCACCACCATCAGCACCACCATCACCACCATCAGCACCACTATCACCACCATCAGCACCACCGTCATCACCTCCGAGCTACATGACGGACATTGCAAGTTGTTGTTGTTGATGATGTTGATGATGTTGTTGTTATTGATAATGCTGTTGATGACAATAATGTTGCTGATATAACTCTATTGATGATGATATTGTTTGACGTTGTTATTGATGATGGTGTTATTGATAATGTTGTTGACAATGTTGTTGTCGATTATGTTACTGATAATGTTGTTGACAATGTTGTTGTTGATGATGTTATTGATAATGTTGTTGACAATGTTATTGTTAATGTTATTGATAATGTTGTTGACAATGTTGTTGATGATATTATTGATGTTGTTGACAATGTTGTTGTTGATGATGTTATTGATAATGTTGTTGACAATGTTATTGTTAATGATGTTATTGATATTGTTGTTTACAATGTTGTTGTTGATGATGTTATTGATAATGTTGTTGACAATGTTGTTGTTGATGATGTTATTGATAATGTTGTTGACAATGTTGTTGTTGATGTTATTGATAATGTTGTTGACAATGTTGTTGTTGATGATGTTATTGATAATGTTGTTGACAATGTTATTGTTAATGATGTTATTGATAATGTTGTTGACAATGTTGTTGTTGATATTATTGATATTGTTGTTGACAATGTTGTTGTTGATGATGTTATTGATAATGTTGTTGACAATGTTGTTGTTGATGATGTTATTGATAATGTTGTTGACAATGTTGTTGTTGATGATATTGATAATGTTGTTGACAATGTTGTTGTTGATGATGTTATTGATAATGGTGTTGACAATGTTGTTGATGACTGTTATTGATAACGTTGTTGACAATGTTGTTGTTGATATTATTGATATTGTTGCTGACAATGTTGTTGTTGATGATGTTATTGATAATGTTGTTGACAATGTTGTTGTTGTTGATGATGTTATTGATAATATTGTTGACAATGTTGTTGTTGATGATGTTATTGATAATGTTGTTGCCAATGTTGTTGATGACTGTTATTGATAATGTTGTTGACAATGTTGTTGTTGATGATGTTATTGATAATGTTGTTGACAATGTTGTTGTTGATTATGTTATTGAAAATGTTGTTGACAATTTTGTTGTTGATGATGCTATTGATAATGCCGTGTTTTATGTGATTCACGTTGTTCATGCTGTTGACGGTGAAGTTATTGATGCTGGTGAAGTTATTGATAATGTTGATGGTGATGTTGATGGTGATGAAGACGCTCATGTTGTTGATGTTGATGGTGCTGTTGATGGTGATGTTGGTGGTGATTTTGATGTTGATGGTGATGTTGATGGTGATGCTGATGGCGATGTTGATGGTAGTGGTGATGTTGATGGTGATGTTGATGGCGATGTTGATGGTGATGGTAGTGGTGATGTTGGTGGTGATGTTGGTGGTGATGGTGATGTTGATGGTGATGTTGGTGGTGATGTTGATGGTGATGTTGGTGGTGATGTTGGTGGTGATGTTGATGTTGGTGGTGATGTTGGTGGTGATGGTGATGTTGATGTTGGTGATGTTGATGTTGATGGTGATGTTGGGGGTGATGTTGATGTTGGTGATGGTGATGTTGGCGGTGATGTTGATGTTGGTGGTGATGTTGATGTTGGTGGTGATGTTGATGGTGATGTTGATGGTGATGTTGGTGGTGATGTTGATGGTGATGGTGGTGTTGATGGTGATGTTGATGGTGATGTTGGTGGTGATGTTGATGGTGATGTTGATGGTGATGTTGATGGTAATGCTGATGGCGATGTTGATGGTAGTGGTGATGTTGGTGGTGATGTTGGTGGTGATGTTGATGGTGATGTTGGTGGTGATGTTGATGGTAATGTTGATGTTGGTGATGTTGGCGGTGATGTTGGTGGTGATGTTGATGGTGATGTTGGTGATGTTGGTGGTGATGTTGATGGTGATGTTGATGGTGATGTTGGTGTTGATGGTGATGTTGGTGGTGATGTTGATGGGGATGTTGGTGGTGATGTTGATGGTGATGTTGATGGTGATGTTGATGTTGGTGTTGATGTTGATGGTGGTGATATTGGTGATGCTGGTGATTTTGGTGGTGATGGTGATGTTGATGTTGGTGTTGATGTTGATGGTGATGTTGGTGGTGATGTTGGTGGTGATGTTGATGATGATATTGGTGATGTTGGTGGTGATGGTGATGTTGATGGTGATGTTGATGTTGGTTTTGATGGTGATATTGGTGATGTTGACTCACGGGAGGGACTGCACGAATGTAGCCATGCTGAACCCAGGCAATCGCGCACTCAGCTGAGCGGTAATGTAGCCCTCAATGAGCTCCATCTGCAACATCGCAACATCACCATCAACATCAACATCACCATCAACATCAACATCACCATCAACATCACCACCAACATCACCAACATCACCAACATCACCATCAACATCACCATGACCACCATCACCATCACTGGGGGGCACGTGCCACTCAACTCAACTCCACCCAACACAACTCCAGTCAACTCATCTCTACTCCACTCAACACAACTCCACCCAACTCAACACAACTCCACCCAACACAACTCCACCCAACACAACTCCACCCAACTCAACTCAACACAACTCAACTCAACTCCACACAACTCCACACAACTCCACCCAACACAACTCCACCCAACACAACTCCACCCAACACAACTCCATCCAACACAACTCCACCCAACTCAACTCCACACAACTCCACCCAACTCAACACAACTCCACCCAACTCAACTCAACTCCACCCAACTCAACTCAACTCCACCCAACTCAACACAACACAACTCCACCCAACTCAACTCAACTCCACCCAACTCAACACAACTCAACTCCACTCCACTCAACTCCACCCAACTCAACTCCACCCAACTCAACTCAACTCCACCCAACTCAACACAACACAACTCCACCCAACTCAACTCAACTCCACCCAACTCCACTCAACACAACTCCACCCAACTCAACTCCACCCAACACAACTCAACTCCACTCCACTCAACTCAACTCCACCCAACTCAACTCCACCCAACACAACTCAACTCCACCCCAACTCAACTCCACCCAACTCAACTCCACCCAACTCAACACAACTCCACCCAACTCAGCTCAACTCCACCCAACACAACTCCACCCAACTCAACACAACTCCACCCAACTCAGCTCAACTCCACCCAACTCAACACGACTCCACTCAACTCAACTCCACCCAACTCAACACAACTCCACCCAACTAAAACACAACTCCACCCAACTCAACTCAACTCAACTCCACCCAAATCAACTCCACCCAACTCAACTCAACACAACTCAACTCCACACAACTCCACACAACTCAACTCAACTCCACCCAACTCAACTCAACTCCACCCAACTCAACACAACACAACTTCACCCAACTCAACTCCACCCAACACAACTCCACCCAACTCAACTCAACACAACTCAACACAACTCAACTCCACACAACTCCACTCAACTCCACCCAACTCAACACAACACAACTCACTCAACACAACTCCACCCAACTCCACTCCACTCAACTCCACTCAACTCAACTCCACCCAACTCAACACAACTCCACCCAACTCAACTCCACCCAACTCAACTCCACCAAACACAACTCCACCCAACTCAACTCAACTCAACTCCACCCAACTCAACTCCACCCAACTCAACTCCACCCAACACAACTCAACTCCACCCCAATTCAACTCCACCCAACTCAACTCAACTCCACTCAACTCCACCCAACTCAACTCAACACAACTCCACCCAACTCAACTCAACTCCACCCAACTCAACACAACTCCACCCAACTCAACTCCACCCAACTCAACACAACTCCACCCAACTCAACTCAACTCCAACTCAACTCCACCCAAATCAACTCCACCCAACTCAACTCATCACAACTCCACCCAACTCAACACAACTCAACTCAACACAACTCCACCCAACTCAACACAACTCAACACAACTCAACTCAACACAACTCCACCCAACTCAACTCAACTCCACCCAACTCAACTCAACTCCAACTCAACTCCACCCAACTCAACTCAACTCCACCCAACTCAACACAACTCCACCCAACTCAACTCCACCCAACTCAACGCCACCCAACTCAACACAATTCCACCCCACCCCACACAAGGCGTGTGTGTGTGCGTGTGTATGTGTGTGCATATGTGTGTATGTGCGTGTGTGCGCACGTACATGCGTACGTGCGCAAGTGCGTATGTGTATACGTGTGTGTGCGTGTGCGTGTGTATGTGTGTGCATGTGTGTGCGCATCAGTAGGCCTGGGCTCTGGGTCATTCTTCGTGCTTTTGGAGTACCTGACCCTCTGCTCACGATCATTAAGGGCCTTCATGATGGTGAGCGGGCCCGGGTAAAACTACGTGGCCGGGAGTCAGACCCATTCCCTGTACACCTTGGGGTGCGACAGGGATGTCCTATGGCTCCCACATTATTTAACATCTATTTTGACCACATAGTTCGTGAAGCCTTCAATAGCTGTACCGGGGGAATCTTCATATGGTAGATATAATGGGAGGTTAATCGATGCCCGGGTGCGGTCAAGGGATGGCTCCCTATTGCTCAACCACGTTATGTATGATGATGATTTGGTAATAGCTGCTCAGTCAGAGGAGGAGTTGGAGATGCTGCTGCTGAGACTGGAGCGTGCCACTAAGAGGTGGGGCCTTACCATCAGCCCCACCAAAACTAAGCACCTGCCTGGGTATTCTGTACCATCGGAGACTCCACCCCCACAACTCCCAATCGGTGATGGGCAGTTGTGGAGAGAGTGGAGAGTTTCCCATACCTGGGCAGTGTGCTTATGACTGGCTCCAGTTTAACAGCAGAGGTCTCACTCCGAATCAGTCGAGCGGCAATATCTTTTCATCGGTTGCGTAACGCTGTGTGGAAGCTACCTGGTCTGTCGCTCCGCACTAAGCTTCAGGTCTTCTCGGCCACGGTCATTCCCTCCCTTCTCTACGCTTGCGAAACGTGGACCCCCCTAATGGAACATCTTCGCCGGTTAGAAACATTTAGGCTGGCCTGCCTACGATCCATCCTGGGTTTAACCAGACTGGATTGTGTGAGGAGCTCACAAATCCTTGAAAGATCTGGGCAGGGTCCCATCGGTGAGCTCCTCCGGCAGGCAAGGCTGCGATGGCTGGGTCATGTAGCCCGCATGCCTAGCCACCGCATGCCGAAACAGCTTTTGTTTGGCCGGATTGAGGGGGCTAAGCGGGCGCGGCACGGGCTAGAGAAGAGATGGAGTGATGTGGTACAGGAGGACGTGGAGCTGAGTGGACTTGCCGATGACCGGTACCAGCGGTGTCAAGATCGGCCTCTGTGGAGGAGGCTCGTGAAGGATGCTACTGGGCAGTTGGAGGCAGTCGCCCTCCAACAACAACGGAGGACGGAGGAGCAACGCTCAGAACAACGAGCGGAGTGGCGGGTGGCTAAAGCACAGCAGGTTGGCACAGAACGGGGCACAGGTGGTGCATCAGCCAGTCATCTCAGTCAGTCGACCCGTGGCACCTGGGTCTGCCCCGTGACCTCCTGCCAGCGGGCGTTCGAAACTTCACGTGGCCTCAGGGTACACATAGCCTGGCATAAGCGTCGTGGTGACGTCACCGCCACTTAGTGGCGAATGGCGGTTGTTGTTGTTGTTGTGTGTATGTGTGTGTGTGTATGTGTGTGTATGTGTATGTGTGTGTATGTGTGTATGTGTGTATATGTGTATGCGGCGTAATACGTATTGGTGGAAGATCTGTGTGTGTGTGTGTATGTGTATGTGTGTGTATGTGTGTGTGTGCGGCGTAGTACGTATTGGTGGAAGATCTGTGTGTAGCTGAGTTTGTTCTCCTCCGTGTCCTCAAACTCGCGGTAGTTCTCGTCCATGAATCTACGCTGCATCTCCTGGAAGCCTCCGTCTGCCCAGTGCCACGCATGGGGGGCAGGGGGGGGGCAGGGGGGGAGCAGGGGGGGGGGCAGGGGGGGCGGGGGGGGTAGAAAATAATATACGGTCAAACACGACTCGCTGAGTCCTCGCAAGCTCCTCTCCACGCCAGGACTATCCACGGCCAGTGCCGTCATCATTACCATAGCCACCACCGCCATCGCAAATACTTTACCATAGCCACCGCCACCGCCATTGCAAGTACTGTCATCACCATCACCACTATCACAGAATAATTACCATACCACCATCACAAATACTGTCATCACCATCACCACCACCACTATCACAGAATCATTACCATACCACCACCATCACAAATACTGTCATCACCACCACCACCACCACTATCACAGAATCATTACCATACCACCACCACCATCACAAAACTGTCATCACCACCACCACTATCACAGAATCATTACCATATCACCACCACCATCACAAATACTGTCATCACCACCGCCACCACCACTATCACAGAATCATTACCATACCACCACCACCATCACAAATACTGTCATCACCACCGCCACCACCACTATCACAGAGTGAGTCACCGCAACCTCGCCTCTACACCGAGAACCAGGACTGCCATGTTCGCTGCTGGACCATCATTGCCATCACCAAAGACAAAGATCCCCCGTGTGGCCTGTAACAGACTGTAGGGGCAAGCGCTGTTAGTGAGCAGCACCTATGAAGGCCGGAATGGTACACGAGGGGGTGGGTGGCCAGCACCACGCCCGGCCGCCTTTGTCTCCCCAGTGGCGATGTTTACACACCGCAGCAGGTACTCATTTGAGGCAGCAAATACTCTGAATAGAAATATTAATTCATACGGGAGGAATCCGATGAGCTATAAAGCTCTTCTTTATATATATATTTTATAAAACAGATGTCCAGCAGGGCCAGAACGTTACGGCAAACGGACAATGCAACAGAAGCACACGACAGGAGTTCCAAGCGCAGGAGAGGTGAGCACATCACCAACAACAACAAGTACAGAAATAACACGAAGCCATTTGACGTGGCCAGGTAAAGCCCACCGAGCTACGGGCCTCTTTTCGCCGCAGCCACGTGGCCACTCAAATGATGGCCTCAAGGTAGCAGATCATCGCGTGGAGAATTTATCTAAATAATCTTCACCGCCGTCACCGCGCATCACCACGGCCATCACAGCAGTCACCACCGTCACCGCCGTCACCGCCGTCACCGTGCGTCACCACCGTCACCACCGTCACCACCGTCACCACCGTCACCGCGCGTCACCACCGTCACCGCGCGTCACCACCGTCACCACCGTCACCACCGTCACCGCGCGTCACCACCGTCACCGCGCGTCACCACCGTCACCACCGTCCCCACCGTCACCACCATCACCACCGTCACCGCCGTCACCACCGTCACCGCGCGTCACCACCGTCACCACCGTCACCACCGTCACCACGCGTCACCGCCGTCACCGCCGTCACCGCCGTCACCGCCGTCACCGCCGCAACCTCCTCCACCCTCCGCTCCACGCTGAGCATCAGGACAGCCGCTGAAGACAAACGGACGGAGGGACAGACGACACAGAGGGAGGGACAGATGACACAGGGGGAGGGACAGACGACACACAGGGAGGGACAGACGACACAGGGAGGGACAGACGACACAGAGGGAGGGACAGACGACACACAGGAACAGACGACACAGAGGGAGGGACAGACGACACAGAGGGACAGACGACACACAGGGAGGGACAGACGACACACAGGGACAGACGACACAGAGGGAGGGACAGACGACACAGGGGGAGGGACAGACGACACAGAGGGACAGACGACACACAGGGAGGGACAGACGACACAGACAGAAGGGCAGACGACACAGACAGATAGACAGACGACACAGACAGAAGGGCAGACGACACGGACGGAGGGACGAACGACACGGAGGGAGGGGACACTGCAACGCTACCCATGATGATTTCCTCCAGGTGGCCGATGACCAGGTCGAAGGACGCGTCCACGGAGTCCGGCCTGCGGCACGCACACAAAGACGGAGATCCCCCGTGTGGCCTTAGCAGGCAGAACCAAAGTAACTGCAAGGTAAAAACCTTTGTGGGCTGCGAGTGGCTTGCTCTGTGAGTGTTTCGCGAGAGCAGCAACATCTTTAAATAAATATTAATTTGATACACGAGCGAGGGTCTTAGCGATACGAGTAGTGGACGTGTAGACGCGTTGCACCGCCGAGCGTCACGTGATCACAGCAGATGTGCGGGTGCTTTGATGCGCGATTGCCTTGGGTGACGAACACGTTTCCGGAACGAATCATAGCTCGCCATCCGAGGTGTTCACTGTCATTGCCTTTATTTGACCGGGTGAGGCCCACTGTGCCATTAGCTCTCATTCAGAGGTGTCCTGGCCACGGATGAAAACTAAGCGGGTGGTCATCGCGTGGACACTTACAGCAGCCGAATACTGTTGAACGCGTGATGGTGTTGATTCGAAATGCGTTGGGGGAAAAACCGGAGGACCCGGAGGAAAATCCGCGCAGTGAACACGGGAAGAGAGACGCGCAGACTCCAAATATACAGCAGCAGGCGTCAGGGTCGCGATCGAAGCCACGACCTCCTGTACACCAGGCGAGGTAGTTAACATCTCCTAGCCACACGCAAACTCCAAATATACAGCAGGCGTGAGGGTCGGGATCGAACCCACGACCTCCTGTATACCAGGCGAGGTAATTAACATCTCCTAGCCACACGCAAACTCCAAATATACAGCAGGCGTGAGGGTCGGGATCGAACCCACGACCTCCTGTATACCAGGCGAGGTAGTTAACATCTCATAGCCACCACCGTGCCCCATTAAACCCGCATCCCCCAATTCCCCTGTTGCGCCGGACCGAGATTGACCGAGGTTGACCGTGATAGACCGAGGTTGACCGAGGTTGACTGTGGTTGACCGAGGTTGACCGAGGTAGACCGAGGTTGACCGTGGTTGACCGAGGTTGACCGAGATAGACCGAGGTAGACCGAGATAGACCAAGGTTGACCAAGGTTGACCGAGGTTGACCGAGGTTGACCGAGATAGACCGAGGTTGACCGTGATAGACCGAGGTTGACCGAGGTTGACCGTGATAGACCGAGGTTGACTGAGGGTGACCGAGGTTGACCGAGGTTGACCGAGATAGACCGAGGTTGACCGTGATAGACCGAGGTTGACCGAGGTTGACCGTGATAGACCAAGGTTGACTGAGGGTGACCGTGGTTGACTGTGGCTGACTGTGGCTAACTGTGGTTGACTGTGGCTGACTGTGGTTGACTGTGGCTGACTGTGGCTAACTGTGGTTGACTGTGGCTGACTGTGGTTGACTGTGGCTGACCGTGGTTGACTGTGGCTGATCGTGGCTGACTGTAGCTGAATGTGGTTGACTGTGGCTGACTGTGGTTGACTGAGGGTGACTGTTGTTGACTGTGGCTGACTGTGGTTGACTGTGGTTGACTGTGGCTGACTGTGGTTGACTGTGGCTGACCGTGGTTGACCGTGGCTGACCGTGGCTGACTGTGGCTGAATGTGGTTGACTGTGGTTGACTGAGGGTGACTGTAGCTGACTGAGGGTGACCGTGGTTGACTGAGGGCGACTGTGGTTGACTGAGGGTGACTGTGGTTGCCCGAGTGACAAGGAAACTTTAGAGCTCATCGGATTCCTCCTCCAGAGTAGACAACGATGACAACAACGATCGCACACACACACGTACTCACGTACACACACACACACATACAACAACAACAACCGCCATTCGCCACTAAGTGGCGGTGACGTCACCACGACGCTTGTGCCAGGCTATGTGCACCCTGAGGCCACGTGAAGTGTCGAACGCCCGCTGGCAGGAGGTCACGGGGCAGACCCAGGTGCCACTGGGTCGACTGACTGAGATGACTGGCTGATGCACCACCTGTGCCCCCTACTGTGCCAACCTGCTGTGCTTTAGCCACCCGGCGCTCCGCTCGTTGTTCTGAGCGTCGCTCCTCCGTCCTCCGTTGTTGTTGGAGGGCGACTGCCTCCAACTGCCCAGTAGCATCCTTCACGAGCCTCCTCCACAGAGGCCGATCTTGACACCGCTGGTACCAGTCATCGGCAAGTCCACTCAGCTCCACGTCCTCCTGTACCACATCACTCCATCTCTTCTCTAGCCCGTGCCGCGCCCGCTTAGCCCCCTCAATCCGGCCAAACAAAAGCTGTTTCGGCATGCGGTGGCTGGGCATGCGGGCTACATGACCCAGCCATCGCAGCCTTGCCTGCCGGAGGAGCTCACCGATGGGACCTTGCCCAGATCTTTCAAGGATTTGTGAGCTCCTCACACAGGCAGGTGCTTAGTTTTGGTGGGGCTGATGGTAAGGCCCCACCTCTTAGTGGCACGCTCCAGTCTCAGCAGCAGCGTCTCCAACTCCTCCTCTGACTGAGCAGCTATTACCAAATCATCATCATACATAACGTGGTTGAGCAATAGGGAGCCATCCCTTGACCGCACCCGGGCATCGATTAACCTCCCATTATATCTACCATATGAAGATTCCCCCGGTACAGCTATTGAAGGCTTCACGAACTACGTGGTCAAAATAGATGTTAAATAATGTGGGAGCCAGAGGACATCCCTGTCGCACCCCAAGGAGTACAGGGAATGGCTCTGACTCCCGGCCACGTAGTCTTACCCGGGCCCGCTCACCATCATGAATGTCCTTAATGATCGTGAGCAGAGGGTCAGGTACTCCAAAAGCACGAAGAACGACCCAGAGCCCAGGCCTACTGATGGTATCATAGGCCTTGACCAGGTCAATAAAGCAGAGATGTAGGTCTTGTTGGAATTCCCTACACCTCTGCTGTAGCAGACGGACAGAAAATATGGCTTCTGTGCAGGACCGCCCTTTCCTGAAACCGCATTGGGGCTCCGCAAGCCTCTCCTCAGCGTGCCTGGCAAGGCGATGCTGAATAATCCTTGCCAGGACCTCTCCCGGCACACTGAGGAGTGAGATGCCCCTGTAGTTGTTACAGTCTGTGCGGTCCCCCTTCTTAAAGAGGGGGACCACCAGGCCATCCTTCCAATCCTGCGGAACCCGTCCAGCGGCCCAGACCGTTGTTATGATGTCATATAGGGCAGTCTGTGCACAAACGCCACCCTCCCTCAGCATTTTGCTTGGGAGATCATCTCTGCCCGCTGCCTTTCCTGGTCTCAGACTCCGGATCGCCTTCAGTACTTCCTCAACAGATGGCACCTCAGCCAGCCACTCACAGGGGGTGACTTCTTCCAATATTTGAGGCACCACAGCCTCAGCAGGGTCATCCTCACTTTGTGCCACGATGTTTTCCTGGCTGAGGGATTTTCCCTCCCCCAGGACCTCACAGAAATGCTCAGCAAATCTGCAAACCTGTTCCTGGGGGTCGGAGATTGGATCACCGTTTTTTCCCCTAATGATAGTAATAGGTGTGGCGCTGCAGGTTACTTTTTTGATGGAGTTAAATAGAGATTTGTGATCGCGGGCCACTGAGGCAGACTCCATCTCCTCAGCAACCCGCGACCACCACCCATCCTTGCAGCGCCTCACAGCTCTCCGAACCTCCGAGCGAAGGCTGCGGTAAGCCTCCTCATTCTCTGACGTGGGATTCTGTAGCCGATGACAGTGGGCCTGTCGCTTTTTCTCAACCATCCTGAACACCTCCTCTGTCAGCCAGGGTCTCTGGGGAGGTCTGGACCGCGTACCCAAAGCAGCCATTGCAGCTGCATGAGTCACAGTCCTAAACTCGCCCATTTACCCTCGACATCAGGAGGAGTCAGGGACGATGCCAATCCCAGCCGCAAGCGATGATGAAATTCTCGCTTGCAAATCAGATAACTGAGACCAGGCCACTTTAGGTCGGAATGGGGTCCTGGGTGTACACCCACCACCGGAGTGGAAGAATGGCAGGCGCATCTTACAGATGACTAGTCGATGGTCAGAGGGCAGATCAGCTCCACGGTAGGTCCTGGTGTCAAGGACATAGGCTCGCATCCGCTGGTCCGTCACTATGTAGTCCAGCAGATGTTCTTGCTTGGACCCGGCATGCATCCATGATGTTGTGTGGATGCGCCGATGCCGGAACAGCGTGTTGGTAATTACAAGCCCATGGGCTGCACAAAAATCTAGCAGCCTCCTACCGTTGTTATTGAGCTGATCTTGCCCATGCCCTCCAATCACTCCAGACCAGGTGCCAGTATCATGACCAACTCGGGCATTAAAGTCACCCAACATGATGACTCTACCCGAGGGGCCACTTTAGCGAGCACCTGTGACAGGAGGTCATAGAAGGCATCTGACTCATCGGCTTTGCCTGCATCCCTCCACGGATGTTCATCTTCGGTGGGGGCATAAGTAACCACGACCACCATTCTTCGCCTCCGGTTGATGGGAAGGCGAGCCCAAAGTAGCGTGGGGCTTACAGCTTCCCACACCTCACCGCCACGCTCCCACGCCCCCTTCATTCTTTTGTTCAAAAGAAGAGCCACAGCCTGTTGTTTAGCAGTCTGCTGCCCCGAGTAGAGGACTGTCCAACCCTCATGGTGGCAGGAGCCAGAGCCGGTCCACCGGACCTCCTGAATGCCGCATAGATCCAGGCGGTACCGGTCCAGCTCCCGACAGAGGAGTGGCAGCCTCTCCTCCGCAGTGAGCGTTCGAACATTCCACGTGGCCACCCGTAGAGGCTTTTCGTTGTTTCTGGAGGAGCCCCGAGGGTGGATATTCAATCTCCTGGCTCCGCCAAGTGGGGTTTGGCCAGGAGACGTCATAGACGCCTGGCCCCCCGGGGCCTCCGGCACAAGCTTATTAGTTATATATTTCAGTTTAACTCGTGGTTTCGTGGTAATTAATTGAAGGTGGAGGGGTTACCAGCCCCTCGCACCCGTCCAGAGCCCCCGTTTACCCCCTCACTCACGTACACATACACACGTACTCACGTACACACACACGTACTCACGTACACACACACACGTACTCACATACACACACACGTACTCAGGTACACACACACTCACACACGTACTCACGTACACACACACTCACAAACGTACTCACGTACACACACACACACGTACTCACATACACACACACTCACACACGTACTCACGTACACACACACACGTACACACACACTCACGTACACACATACACGTACTCACGTACACACACACACACGGACACACACACTCACGTACACACATACGTACTCACACACACACACACTGACGTACACACACACGTACACACACACACACACACGTACTCACGTACACACACTCACGTACACACACACGTACTCACGTACACACACACGTACTCACGTACACACACACACACGTACACACACACGTACACACCCACACGTACACACACACACGTGAACACACACACACCTACACACACACACGTACTCACATACACACACACTCACACACGTACTCACGTACACACACACATGTACTCACGTACACACACACTCACGTACACACACACACGTACTCACGTACACACACACGTACACACACACACGGACACACACACTCACGTACACACACACGTACTCACACACACACACACACTGACGTACACACACACACGTACTCATGTACACACACGTACACACACACACGTACACACACACGTACACACACACACACACGTGCACACACACACACACCTACACACACACACACGTACTCACGTACACACACACACGTACTCACGTACACACACTCACGTACACACACACACGTACACACACACACACACGTACTCACGTACACACACTCACGTACACACACACACGTACTCACGTACACACACACACGTACACACACACACGGACACACACACTCACGTACACACACACGTACTCACGTACACACACACACGTACTCACGTACACACACACACGTACTCATGTACACACACGTACACACACACGTACACACACACACATACACACACACACGTGCACACACACACACATCTACACACACACACGTACTCACGTACACACACACACGTACTCAGGTACACACACACTCACACACGTACTCACGTACACACACACTCACACACGTACTCACGTACACACACACACACGTACTCACATACACACACACTCACACACGTACTCACGTACACACACACACGTACTCACGTACACACACACTCACACACACACACACACGTACTCACGTACACACACACACACGTACACACACACACGGACACACACACTCACGTACACACACACGTACTCACACACACACTGACGTACACACACACGTACACACACACACGTACTCACGTACACACACTCACGTACACACACACACGTACTCACGTACACACACACACACATGTACACACACACGGACACACACACTCACGTACACACACACGTACTCACGTACACACACACACGTACTCACGTACACACACACACGTACTCATGTACACACACGTACACACACACACGTACACACACACGTACACACACACACGTACACACACACGTGCACACACACACACCTACACACACACACGTACTCACGTACACACACACACGTACTCACGTACACACACTCACGTACACACACACACGTACTCACGTACACACACACACACGTACTCACGTACACACACACACGTACTCACACACACACACGTACTCACGTACACACACTCACGTACACACACACGTACTCACGTACACACACTCACGTACACACGTACACACACACTCACGTACACACACATACACACACACGTACACACACACACGTACACACACACACGTACACACACACACGTACTCACGTACACACACGTACACACACACACACGTACACACACACACGTACACACACTCACGTCGCTTCGCTGAACGCGAACATCTCCACGTCGCTGGCCCCGTCGCTCGAGCAAACGACTGCGGCGGACAACGCGGGGGGGGGGGCAGACAGTGACGTCAACAGGGGGGGCAGACAGTGACGTCAACAGGGCAACGCGGGGGGGGGGGGGGGGCAGACAGTGACGTCAACAGGGCAAAGATCACTCGCGGGGCCTGGAAGACAATGATGGGCATCGTGCTGCTGTGTACTGTGTGTACTGTGTGTGTACTGTGTGTGTGTGTGTGTACTGTGTGTGTGTACTGTGTGTACTGTGTACCGTGTGTGCACTGTGTGTGTGTGTACTGTGTGTACTGTCTGTGTGTACTGTGTGTGCGTGTGTGTGTACTGTGTGTGTGTGTACTGTGTGTACTGTGTACCGTGTGTGTACTGTGTGTGTGTGTACTGTGTGTACTGTGTGTGTGTACTGAGTGTGTACTGTGTACCGTGTGTGTACTAATGTGTGTGTGTACTGTGTGTGTACTGTGTGTGTGAACTGTGTGTGAACTGGGTGTGTACTGTGTGTGTACTGTGTGTGTACTGTGTGTATAATGTGTGTGTACTGTGTGTGTGTACTGTGTGTACTGTGTGTGTGTGTGTACTGTGTGTGTGTACTGTGTGTGTACTGTGTCCTGTGTACCGTGTGTGTACTGTGTGTGTACTGTGTGTACTGTGTGTGTACTGTGTGTGTGTGTACTGTGTACTGTGTGTACTGTGTGTGTGTGTACCGTGTGTGTACTGTGTGTGTACTGTGTGTACTGTGTGTGTACTGTATGTGTGTACTGTCTGTGTGTACTGTGTGTGCGTGTGTGTGTACTGTGTGTGTGTACTGTGTGTACTGTGTACCGTGTGTGTACTGTGTGTGTGTGTACTGTGTGTACTGTGTGTGTGTACTGAGTGTGTACTGTGTACCGTGTGTGTACTAATGTGTGTGTGTACTGTGTGTGTACTGTGTGTGTGAACTGTGTGTGAACTGGGTGTGTACTGTGTGTGTGTACTGTGTGTGTACTGTGTGTGTACTGTGTGTATAATGTGTGTGTACTGTGTGTGTGTACTGTGTGTACTGTGTGTGTGTGTACTGTGTGTGTGTACTGTGTGTGTACTGTGTCCTGTGTACCGTGTGTGTACTGTGTGTGTGTGTACTGTGTGTACTGTGTGTACTGTGTGTGTACTGTGTACTGTGTGTACTGTGTGTGTGTACCGTGTGTGTACTGTGTGTGTGTACTGTGTGTACTGTGTGTGTACTGTATGTGTGTGTGTGTGTACTGTGTGTACTGTGTACCGTGTGTGTACCGTGTGTGTATTGTGTACCGTGTGTGTACTAATGTGTGTACTGTGTGTGTACTGTGTGTGTGTACTGTGTACTGTGTGGGTGTACTGTGTGTGTGTACTGGGTGTATACTGTGTGTACTGTGTGTGTGTACTGTGTGTATACTGTGTGTGTACTGTGTGTGCGTACTGTGTACCATGTGTGTACTGTGTGTGTGTACTGTGTGTGTGTACTGTGTGTGTGTGTGTACTGTGTGTGTACTGTGTGTACTGTGTACCGTGTGTGTACTGTGTGTGTGTACTGTGTGTGTGAACTGTGTGTGAACTGGGTGTGTACTGTGTGTGTGTACTGTGTACTGTGTGTGTGTACTGTGTGTGTACTGTGTGTATACTGTGTGTGTACTGTGTGTACTGTGTGTGTGTGTGTACTGTGTGTGTATGTACTGTGTGTGTATGTACTGTGTGTGTATACTGTGTGTGTACTGTGTACCGTGTGTGTGTACTGTGTGTGTGTACTGTGTGTGTACTGTGTGTGTGTACTGTGTGTGTGTGTGCTGTGTGTGTACTGTGTCCTGTGTACCGTGTGTGTACTGTGTGTGTGTGTACTGTGTGTACTGTGTGTGTACTGTGTGTGTGTGTACTGTGTACTGTGTGTACTGTGTACCGTGTGTGTACTGTGTGTGTGTACTGTGTGTACTGTGTGTGTGTACTGTGTGTGTGTACTGTGTGTGTGTACTGTGTGTACTGTGTACCGTGTGTGTACCGTGTGTGTACTGTGTACCATGTGTGTACTAATGTGTGTGTGCACTGTGTGTGTACTGTGTGTGTGTACTGTGTGGGTGTACTGTGTGTGTGTACTGTGTATACTGTGTGTGTACTGTGTGTGTACTGTGTGTACTGTGTGTGTGTACTGTGTGTATGTACTGTGTGTGTGTGTGTACTGTGTGTGTATACTGTGTGTGTACTGTGTGTGTGTACTGTGTACCGTGTGTGTACTGTGTGTGTGTACCTTGTGTGTGTACTGTGTGTGTGAAATGTGTGTGTACTGTGTGTGTGTACTGTGTGCGTGTGTGTACTGTGTGTGTGTACTGTGTGTGTAATGTGTGTACTGTGTGTGTGTACTGTGTGTGTACTGTGTGTGTACTGTGTGTGTGTACTGTGTACTGTGTACCGTGTGTACTGTGTGTGTGTGTACTGTGTGTACTGTGTGTGTGTGTGTACTGTGTGTACTGTGTGTACTGTGTACCGTGTGTGTACTGTGTGTGTGTGTACTGTGTGTACTGTCTGTGTGTACTGTGTGTGCGTGTGTGTGTACTGTGTGTGTGTGTACTGTGTGTACTGTGTACCGTGTGTGTACTGTGTGTGTGTGTGTACTGTGTGTACTGTGTGTGTACTGAGTGTGTACTGTGTACCGTGTGTGTACTAATGTGTGTGTGTACTGTGTGTGTACTGTGTGTGTGAACTGTGTGTGAACTGGGTGTGTACTGTGTGTGTACTGTGTGTGTACTGTGTGTGTGTGTACTGTGTACTGTGTGTACTGTGTGTGTGTGTACCGTGTGTGTACTAATGTGTGTGTGTACTGTGTGTACTGTGTGTGTACTGTATGTGTGTACTGTCTGTGTGTACTGTGTGTGCGTGTGTGTGTACTGTGTGTGTGTACTGTGTGTACTGTGTACCGTGTGTGTACTGTGTGTGTGTGTACTGTGTGTACTGTGTGTGTGTACTGAGTGTGTACTGTGTACCGTGTGTGTACTAATGTGTGTGTGTACTGTGTGTGTACTGTGTGTGTGAACTGTGTGTGAACTGGGTGTGTACTGTGTGTGTGTACTGTGTGTGTACTGTGTGTGTACTGTGTGTATAATGTGTGTGTACTGTGTGTGTGTACTGTGTGTACTGTGTGTGTGTACTGTGTGTGTGTACTGTGTGTGTACTGTGTCCTGTGTACCGTGTGTGTACTGTGTGTGTGTGTGTACTGTGTGTACTGTGTGTACTGTGTGTGTACTGTGTACTGTGTGTACTGTGTGTGTGTGTACCGTGTGTGTACTGTGTGTGTGTACTGTGTGTACTGTGTGTGTACTGTATGTGTGTGTGTGTACTGTGTGTACTGTGTACCGTGTGTGTACCGTGTGTGTACTGTGTACCGTGTGTGTACTAATGTGTGTACTGTGTGTGTACTGTGTGTGTGTACTGTGTACTGTGTGGGTGTACTGTGTGTGTGTACTGGGTGTATACTGTGTGTGTACTGTGTGTGTGTACTGTGTGTATACTGTGTGTGTACTGTGTGTGCGTACTGTGTACCATGTGTGTACTGTGTGTGTGTACTGTGTGTGTGTACTGTGTGTGTGTGTACTGTGTGTGTACTGTGTGTACTGTGTACCGTGTGTGTACTGTGTGTGTGTACTGTGTGTGTGAACTGTGTGTGAACTGGGTGTGTACTGTGTGTGTACTGTGTACTGTGTGTGTGTACTGTGTGTGTACTGTGTGTATACTGTGTGTGTACTGTGTGTGTGTGTGTACTGTGTGTGTATGTACTGTGTGTGTATGTACTGTGTGTGTATACTGTGTGTGTACTGTGTACCGTGTGTGTGTACTGTGTGTGTGTACTGTGTGTGTACTGTGTGTGTGTACTGTGTGTGTGTGTGCTGTGTGTGTACTGTGTCCTGTGTACCGTGTGTGTACTGTGTGTGTGTGTGTGTGTACTGTGTGTACTGTGTGTGTACTGTGTGTGTGTGTACTGTGTACTGTGTGTACTGTGTACCGTGTGTGTACTGTGTGTGTGTGTACTGTGTGTACTGTGTGTGTGTACTGTGTGTGTGTACTGTGTGTGTGTACTGTGTGTACTGTGTACCGTGTGTGTACCGTGTGTGTACTGTGTACCATGTGTGTACTAATGTGTGTGTGCACTGTGTGTGTACTGTGTGTGTGTACTGTGTACTGTGTGGGTGTACTGTGTGTGTGTACTGTGTATACTGTGTGTGTACTGTGTGTGTACTGTGTGTACTGTGTGTGTGTACTGTGTGTATGTACTGTGTGTGTGTGTACTGTGTGTGTATACTGTGTGTGTACTGTGTGTGTGTACTGTGTACCGTGTGTGTACTGTGTGTGTGTACCTTGTGTGTGTGTACCTTGTGTGTGTACTGTGTGTGTGAAATGTGTGTGTACTGTGTGTGTGTACTGTGTGTGTGTACTGTGTGCGTGTGTGTACTGTGTGCGTGTGTGTACTGTGTGTGTGTACTGTGTGTGTAATGTGTGTACTGTGTGTGTGTACTGTGTGTGTACTGTGTGTGTACTGTGTGTGTGTACTGTGTACTGTGTACCGTGTGTACTGTGTGTGTACTGTGTGTATACTGTGTGTGTACTGTGTGTGTACTGTGTGTGTGTGTGTACTGTGTGTATGTACTGTGTGTGTGTACTGTGTGTGTATATACTGTGTGTGTACTGTGTGTGCGTACTGTGTACCGTGTGTGTACTTTGTGTGTGTACTGTGTGTGTGTACTGTGTGTGTGTGTACTGTGTGTGTATGTACTGTGTGTGTATGTACTGTGTGTGTACTGTGTACCGTGTGTGTGTACTGTGTCTGTGTACTGTGTGTGTGTACTGTGTGTGTGAACTGTGTGTGTACTGTGTGTGTGTACTGTGTGTGTACTGTGTGTGTACTGTGTGTGTGTACTGTGTACTGTGTGTGTGTACTGTGTGTGTACTGTGTGTATACTGTGTGTGTACTGTGTGTGTACTGTGTGTACTGTGTGTGTGTGTGTGTGTACTGTGTGTA